AGGGTTGAAATGGGGTTTTTAAAAAGCTACAATTTTGAATACACAATTCGAATTTAAATCCTTTTTTACATATTTTGTTAAAATATTTTACAGAGTTATTTTTATGGTAAATTTCAAATCAAAATAAAAAACATTTGGGATTTATAAATAATTTAAACCAATGTTTGAATCTTATAAATTTACTTTTGTGAAAAAATGATTATTTTATTTATGAAAAACATTAAATGTGACTTAAAATAGTACAAAAAGCCGAAACATCCTTTTGTGAATGTATTTTTAACTTTAATTAGAGTCAGTCTTTTAACGTTGTCTTTTTTTCGAACGTTATCCTTTTTGCCAAAAATACACAAAAATTCTTTAAATAATTGGGAATTAAATAATAAATCATAAAAACGGTAAAAAACTGAAACAATGTTTTTCTGGCGGTTCGAAAAATATCCCGATATATTCCAGTTATTAATATCTAAAAACTGAGGGACAATGTTGAAGAGGACAACTTTTAGAGAATGACTCTAATAATATATTATAATAATTTAAATCATCTGCAGTCTAAAATTAATATTATTTAAAACTCTCAACAATGGTTCGAAATATTATTAATTATGGTTGTTTTTTAAAAACAATCCACAAAAGGTTGTTTCGGTTCACTCTCAATATAAATATAAAACAAATAACATTCATTATATAAATTAAAAAACAAAGGTTAAATAATTATAAATTTTTAATAAAAATGGATGTTTTTTAAAAAATTACAAATCAAGCTTAATTAAAAATATGTAAAAAACATTAAAAATTTACTAATTATTATTACAAAATCTCCGAAATATGCAAAATTAGAAGCAAAAATAGATATAAATATTTTTTTACCCATTTTATAATAAGGAGAGCTTACTCATTAACGACATTTGAGTAAGCAGAATTATTTATTTTTAGAATAATATTTTTTTTCAATTAACACTTTAAATAACAATGAACAAAATTCAAGGGGTCTAAAAATCGGGCAAATGTCGAGTTTATTAAATAAATTTCCATTTTTTAGAGTTTATATTGTGTGCATAAACAATACACAAGCCAAAATAGGAAAATCATCAAAATTTTGATTAATATCCCTAGAAAAACAGGCCAAAACAAAAAAGGGCGTTATTTTAAGTGTTAAAATCTTTTAACATTGTTTCACCAAATAATTCACATTTTTTCTTATGTGACATAACAACAAAGTAACAAAAAATATTATGTTTATGATTTTTACTTTCTAAATTTGTGGTATGTCTTAATTGTACAATCATCATCATATGGAGAATAAACAATTTCAAAGTGTCTGTTGAACCTTTCAAAAACATTCGACAATGATAATAAATTGAATAATTCTTCGAAATCTACTCTGTTTAAATTTGCCAATAAATGAAAAAATTATCGTCACTATATTGTCAGTAAAATTCACTTTTTCTTTACTTTCGACAATTTTATTTTCAATTTCATTATTATCATTGAAAAATTCAAGTTATTCCATTAATCAACACAACCTCATTTTTTTCTAGAATGTTCACCAAATTAATTTTTGTTGGTTTTTTGACTAAAATTTACTCGTTAAAAAATGATTCATTCCAATTGAAACTTTATTGTTTTCATTAACTTCTATTTTTAAATCACCATTACCACCAACTATATCAAATAATAATTGTGTATTTGAATTATAATAAGATTTGAGACCAACAACTTCTTTTTGTTTGTTGAAAGATTCGATCGTTTGTTTTTGTACATTGTTTCTTTTTTTGGCCTTACCATTTTCTTTGTTTTGTTTCAATGTTAATAGAGGTTGAGTTGCGCCCAATTGTTGATTTCTTTGATCTTTCGTTGTCAATCATTATGTGTTTAATGTATTTGTTTTTTATTGTTTTTTATTCGTTTTTTGTTTGTTTTTATTTAAACGCGCGTCTAGTATATTTTTCTGTTCATCAAACCATGTTAGTACATTTGTTGGAGTCGTCGTGTCTCTTTTTGAATTTTAAGTAATTGTATATTTTTTGTTAATATTAAAACAGTAAAATATTTTTCTTATCAAGTTACAACTGAATTCAAAAAATCTATATTTAATTAATTGATAAAAATAGTTTTTTACTTGAAAACCCATATTTGAGTAAGTTCTCCTAAAAAAATAAAAATATATTTAGGATTATTATTTTTATAAAAATATTTTTGTTTTTATTTTTAACCATTGTTAAAATTTAAAAATGTATTAAAAACAATAATACATTTTTTGTATAGTTGTTTTTTTTGAAAATAAATTTATATATCCCGATAATTTAGACCTTTTATTTAATTGACATAAAAAGTGTATTGTAAAAAGTTTTTTTTGCCAAATATTTTTTTTCTTGGTCTTAAATTTTGAAAATTTCAAAATTATTAGAGTCGCCGAACTATGGCCCATAAACCAACTTTATTTATTTTCGAATTAAATATTTTTTATAATATGTTTCGATAATTTATTAAACAAATCAAGACAAAATTAATAACTAAATTTATCCAAGACAATTTGTTTGCCATTTTTAAATACTTTGATTTTTTCAGAGTCCAATAATTCGTAAGAAAAGTGAATATCATCGATGTAGAGTGTATTTTCTAATTCAAAACCGTTGTGAACAAATAGAAAACCAGAAACATATTGTGTAAGACAAACTTTTTTCAACACACCTTCTTCCACTCTCAATCCTTTAATTTTACTGGAGAATATTTCCATTTTTTGAATTTTTGCATTGTTTGTTGCAATAGTTACATTTCCACAATAAATAACAATAGAAATGATAGAGTCTGGTAGTGATAATTTACCTTTAAAATTTTTTAAATATAAACCTTTTAAATTTGTTTCTTTACTTAAATCAAGTGTGTATTCCGATTTATCATATATAGCTTACATACATACACTTAACCAATCAATACCCATGTCGTTGACCATTTTACTCATTCTCTCACTGTCATGTTCACCGAATGATTGCATAATAAAAATGGTTCCTTCCAACACTGAAAATGGCATTTCCAATTCATTATCATAATCACTTTTAAACATTATTAGAAGTGGATTACATTTGT